GCCGCCCCTCAAGCCGGGCGGCCTCACCGGCGACCCACACCTGCACTTTGCGCACGGGGGGGAGGCAGACTTCCGCGGCGAGGACGGCGGCATCTATGCGATGCTCCACCATTCGGGACTGGCCGTCAACGTCCTCTTTGAGGCGTGCGCCTTCTTCCTCTCCGACCTGACCCTCAAGGTGCGCGGTACGTTCGTCACTGACATCTTTGTCAAGGCCGTCACTGAGAGCGGCCGCATCGTCCGCATCGAGTTCACGCCCAACATGCCGCCCACTCCGCTCGTCCACGGCCTCGAGGGCGGCACGCGGCGCGTCCTGCCCGGCGAGCCGCCCCTCGTCGTGGAGGACCTGTCTGTCGCGGTGGCAGTTGCCGAGGCAGAGGTCCATCCCAACCTTCCGCGCCTGCTTCAGAACGACAACACCGAGATTCTGCGCGTGCGCACCGCCGGCTGGGCCATCGAGGCGACCGCTCGGCCCATCCAGCGCTCCGCGACGCGTGGCAAGAAGCAGGTTGACCTCTCGTTTGCGCCGCTGCGAGACCCGCTCGCGCCCAACCCCAAGACGGGCAAGGTGGTGGCTCCGCACGGTCTGGTGGGCCAGTCCTTTGATGGCGACGACATCGCGGTCGACGGCAAGAAGGATCGATGTGCGCCCGCCTGCCCGCCCCTGACTGCTGCTCAAGAGCCCGCGTTGACACACGGCTCCGGCGCGCGCCGCAGACCGCGAGCTGTGGTGGCGTCAGAGCTCCTTCAAGGCCAACGAAATCACGACCGAGGCGCAGGCCGAAGGGGCCATCGAGGGCTCTGGCGGCGACTACAAGGTGGGGGACTTTTTCGGCACCGACTTCAAGTACCGGCGCTTCGACGCCCTGGAGGCGGCGCCGCGCAGCATCGCGGCCCTCTCGGGCACCAAGCGCGTCGTATCAAACGCTGGCGCAAACGCTGGCGCGGCCTCCTGGAAGCGCAGCAAGGCGGGCACGTCCGGCGACGACGCGCACGCGTTTGAGGCCGAGCGCAAGCAGCACCCCTAGCGCGCGTCGTAAAGGTGTTATATGGGCTTCTCGTATCAAACTTCATTGCTTATGAGAGAGAGAACGTTGCTTATTACCTCATTTTACTGCATCCGTGACGGTGGTATGAACTTCTATAACGATACGTAAAGATGATTTGTTACGACCCCCCCCCTTGCCAGCAGTGCTGCGCAGCAGCCCCGAGCCCGAGTCTGTCGGCCGCACTGACTGCCGCCCCAACCGGAGCGCCGACCGATGTGTACTTTAGAGTACGGTATTCATACAAAGAAGACTAGCGATGGTAAGTAAGGCGTCGCGGGGCGCTCCCACCCTCACTCGGGGCGCCGCTGCGAGCGACGACTCAGCCCAGCTGCGCGCGAAAGGTGTACGCGGCGCACGCGAGCGGGCAGAGCGCCTCGACTGTCGCGTCGGCCGAGAAGCCGTCCGGCGGCGGAGTGTCGCCACAGCCCTGAGCCCACGTCACTGCGCAGACGCCGGTGCCCGACGCGTCGACGACGTCGCGGCACGGCGTGCCTGTTCACAGCCGGGCGTGTGAGGGGCAAGTGCGGCCGTCGATGGCGGCCTCGCACCTCACGTCACGCCGCACCGCACACCGAGTGTACTGCGTCGCGCAAGCTGTCGGATGCGGCGGCGAGGCGCGCCGCTGACTGCTCCATCGACTCGACCGCCCTTGCGAGGCGCGCGTCCTGCGGCGTCAGCCGCGCCGCTGCCTTGAAATCGGCGAGCGCGTCGGCGAGGCGGCCTTGCTGCGCGCGCGCCGTCCCGACGCCGGCCTTCACCTCGTCAAAGTACTCTGGGTCCGCCGCGGCGGCGGCGTAGAATTGGGCAATCGCCTCGGCCGGCCGCGAGAGGCGGGCGAAGTAGCGGGCGAGGGTGAGGGGCGGGCGAACGTCCGACGGCTCGGCGACAGCGACGGCCTGCTCGAAGGCCGCCAGCGTCTCGTCCTCCGCCCCGTCCACCGCCGACAGCTGCACGCCGAGCGAGACCCAGCCCGCAGCGTCGGACGGCGACGCCTTGAGCGCCACGCGGTACGCCGCCGCCGCGCCCGCCGCGTCGCCGCCGTCTGCGACCTTCCTCGCCGAGTCGAAGAGGGCGGAGGCCTCGGCCGATCGCGGCGGAGCAGGCGTCGGCTCCTCGTCCGGCCAGCGCACCCGCCCCCCGCACCACTCTGCGCCGCGCAGCACCGCGGCGTGGCGGGGCGGCGTGTCGGGCAGCGAGGCGGCGGCGCAGGCGTGGGACTGCAGCCTGCGCCGGACAGCCTGCGCGGTGTTGTGCCCCCGCCAGAGGGCGTCGTACGCCGAGTGGGCCGCCGAGCCGGCGGGCGGCGGTGCCGAGGCGGCCCCTCGGAAGGCGAGGACGTACGCGTTGCGAGAGGTCGCGGGCGTGGGCTCGAAGCCGCCGACGGAGATGCGGTGGCGCCACAGCGCGGTGGTGAAGGCGTACAGCGCCTCCTTGCGCGAGACGGCTCGCTCGTACGGGTCTCGAAGCGCTTCGGCGAGCAAGCCGGAGGGCGAGAGGAGTTCGAGGGAGAGGGGGGGCTGCTCGGCGAAGCCGGACGGGAAGGCGTGCTCGATCGTCGCTCCGACCCCGCGCAGGTTGGCGACGGCGAGGAGGTGCTCGTGACTCTGGTACGATGTGGCCCAAAAGAGGCGCCCGGACGCTACCATCGCCTCGACCGACGACCGCCAAAGGCAGCCCAGCCCCAGCCCGCCCAACCGGCCCGCCGCCACGCGCGAGGAGAGCTGCGCCGCGGTCAGCACGGCGAAGGTGCCCTTGTCAGAGACGCAGCCGCCATCCGACGGCCAAAGGTCGTCGTGCATGCCAGAGTTCTCGAGGAGCGTGACGTCGGCGGCGACGGCGGGAGGAGCGTACACCCCGTTGACCAGCTCGAGGGTCAGCCACCCGTCCGGCCGCATCGCAGTCGCCGCGAGCGAAGGCGCCTCGGGCCCGATCCCGCGGACTGCCACGCGCTCGACCGACGGCAGCAGCCGGCGCAACGCACCGCCGATGAGGGATCCCCAGCGCTCTGCCGTCGCCGCAGCGACGTCCTCCCACGGCGTGACGGTCACGGTGTTGGAGGTGCCCTCTTCCACCGGCCGCTCCACCCAGTCGAAGGCCCACCCCACGACGTCCACGTCCACCGCCGCCGTCCGGCTCGCGTACGCCTCGTCGCCGAGCGAGAGGCGGAGGGCCTCAACGATGGTCAGCGCCGTCGTGAGCGACGAGGTGAGCTCCTGCTCCGTCGCCTGCTGCGCGGCGACGCCGCCCACGGCGTCGGTCACCACTCGAGCAGTGCCGTCCGCCCAAGAGCCATCGCCGACCGAGGCGGCAAACGCCGCATAGTGACGCCAGCTGCAGGGCGGTGGCGCCGCTGCGAGGGACGGAGTGACGGCGAGGGTGTAGTTTGTCATGCATGGTAGCACGACGTTCGCAGCGCCGGCAGTAGCAACGGCGAGCGCCAGTGCGAGATGGCGAGCCCCATTCATCGCGCCGGGAAGAAGAAATCCGCACCGCGCCACCGGCCAAAAGCGCATGTCTTGAAGGTCCGATACTGGAAGCCCATATAGGCACCTTACACTCCCCCGCAGTATCGCACCTCTTGAGCGACACTACGTTTCCGCAGCTGGGGATTCTCCGGGTACCCCTCTTTGTACCGTGCTGGCCGGATTCCTCCTCCGAACAACTCAAGTTCGATCGGCCCCAGTCTCGAACTGGCAGCCACTATCTCACCGGAGGTACCATGTCCGAGGAGGCCACCGGCCAAAAGCGCATGTCTTGAAGGTCCGATACTGGAAGCCCATATGGCACCTTACAAGACCCCACCATCCCTCCCTTGGGTTGTCTGTTGGCTTTCTTTCTTTTTCCCACCAAATCGGGACTGCCGCTCGCGCGCGCCGCTGCTGCCCTCGCCAGCAGCCGCCGCGGTCGCAGTGCCATCGTGCGGACTGGCGGTCGACGCGCTCGGCCTCCGCTGGCGGCTGCCGCAAGAGCGGCTGGCTCACGAGGACACGACAGCGTCTCGCCGGTTGCCGGACAGGAGAGTACAGAGCGTCTGGAGTGTAACTGTGTACGCGAGATCGGTATTGATAACAAGCACGGTCGATCCGCCAAAGCGATACACTCGTGTTCCTATCTCGCCGGAGGGCTGGCACGGAGCTCTGTGCCGACAACCCTGAGCCCTGGTGTCGAGGTGTCGAGGCCCGGTGTCGAGGGTGTCGAGCTGCTGTCGAGGGGTAGAGGTGTCGAGGCCTGTCGAGGCCTGTCGAGGCCTGTCGAGGCCTGTCGAGGCCTGTCGAGGCTGAAACCACGCTTGCCAGTGTCGAGGGGTGTCGAGGGGTGTCGAGGGGTGTCGAGGGTGTCGAGGGTGTCGAGGGTGTCGAGCGGGTGTCGCCTGTTGTCAAGAGGCGTCTGAGGTGTCGAGGTTCACAAGTCGTCACTTTCTCTTGCGCCGTTCGTCGTCCACCCCCAGGCCGGAGGACGACTGCGCAGCTCCTTGCACCGCGTGCAAGCGCACGCGGCCACACTTCGACGCGTCCAAGTAAACGCGACCGTCCTCCTCCTCATCCTCGTCGTCGTCTCCGTTCCACTCCTCATCCGAGCTGTCGTCCGGCGCCGCCACCTTGAGCGTTGAGCCGGTCCGGCATCGCGGCGCGGCTCTCGCGACGCGCCATGATGCGAGCGGCCGGTGTATCCAGCTCCTCGCCGGCCTCGCCGCTCACTCATCCTTCAGCTGGGGTGAAACGGATGAGCGCGCCCTTACGGCGCCCTTACGCCCTTAAACCGGACCCTTTCCCCCCTCCCCCATTCCTCTTCTCCCTTTTTTCTTGTTTAGGCCCTAATTAACCACCACGGGAGCCGCCTAAGCGACTCCTGTGAGGACGGTGTAGCTCCTGGAACAAAGAACTTCCTCGTTTTGTCGGCCTTGTCGCCCGCCGACAACCGGTTCCCTTTAAGTAGGGTTCCGCTGATGGAATGGCCTACGCGCTGAAGGACCACGACAGCCGACTCGTGAAGATGCTGGCAGAGCACGACGAGAGCATCACCGAGATGCTGGAAAGGCGAGACAAAGGCATGAGGGAGTATGCTGCAAGCGAGGCGGTGGCGCTGGAGGATGCCAGGCGGAGCTGGCGGCGGCGCTTGCGGAGAGCGCAAGACTGGAAACCGAGGCGAGGCGCGCGCGCCCCCGAGCCGGCCTCTGGCGCTTCAGCACAGGCGCTGGCGCTGGAATTAGAGCCGCCAGCCGACTTTATCTGCCCCATCACGGCGGAGGCCATGCGCGACCCGGTGATGGCGGGTGATGGGCACGCGTATGAGCGGATTGCGATCGAGCGCTGGCTCGCGATCAGATCGACGAGCCCGCTAACGGGCAAGGCGCTTGAGAACACGGGCGTCTTCCCCAACCACATGCTGCGGCGGCAGATCCGGGAGTGGCAGGAGCGCAGCAGAAGCACCTGAACACTCGCGAACCGAGAGCGCCGAGATTTCAATCTGTGAGGCGGCTGCGAGGGAGGGCAGCGCGATCGGACGGTGTTGGTACCTCACCGCGCCGGCTGCGTGTTCTCTCTCGCGTGTATGTTACGTACGCCCTCCTCTCTGGTCTATTCTCTAGCCGGGGGGCAGTCGGAGAACAGGGGCAACTCTGTGCACTGACGGTCGGGGCCGTCTCAGAAACCACGCCTGCGTGGATCGTCACACCAATCCTCGCTACCCAACGCGGCCAAAGGATATCCACCTCGAGAACCTCGAATAAATACATAAAACGGACACGCCAAACGAGGGGTGGGAGACGGACACATACAGCTACAGGGTCCCCCCACCTGTAGAGGGTAGACAGCGTCCTAATCTAAAATCTGAGGATTCAGGATTGAGGGCTTGCTTCAGTGAGGCCAAAGTGAGTTTATGGATGTGTGAGAACGGTACGGGACACGAGGAGTCACGCGGACCGACTCGTCGGCGACTCTGCTGCACGGCGTTTCAGAATTTTTCTCAGCGTGAGCGAGACGTGGAAGAGTGCCACCGTCGGGTAGGACGGGTCGGCCCGGAGTATCAGAGTAGCCGTCGTGGTCGCGGCGAGCAGCGACGGCCACTCCGGCGCCGCGTTGGCAACATGGGAGCATGTCCACCGCCACTTCGCGGTCGCAGCGCTGTTGTCGCCCGAAACGCCGCATATCCCTCTGGCGGGCCAAAGATCGACTCGCATGTCGATTTCGAGTTGACGGCAGCATGGAGGCATCACGTCTCCATGCTGCCGTCAAGTCGAAGCCAGTCTGCGGCGACCACAGCGCTTGCAGGAGGTACATGCGAGCTTTTCAGAGTCAGCGATTGCGCGAAATCCCACACTGGTGGATTTTGGGAGGAATTGAAATCTCTTTTTTAGAGATTGAGAGCTTAAAGATTTGAAAGACTCCACTCGGGTCTACAGTGCTACCCAGAGATTTGAGACCAGAGATTTGAGATTTGAGACCTCAGTCACTCAGCCTCCGGTGGGAGACTTTGAGATTAGAGACCAGAGCAAAAGGAATCTGCGGTCGAGTTCGCTCGAGATTCAAGATTTGAGACTGAAGATTTGGACGGCCTCCAACCTAGAGATTTTAGAGCTGAGATTTGGAGATTTGCGGCGTGAATACTGAGACAAGAGCCTCGAAGCTTCTAGAAGGGTTGGGTGGGTTTGACCTGCAGTGAGATTGAGGTCTGAGGTCTGAGATTTGAGATTGAGATTTGAGATTGAGATTTGGGGCCCGGGGAGCCTGCGGCGCCATTTTAATCTGCGCTCCTCTTTATTAAAGAGAGGGACAGCGCTAGGGGCTCTGATGATCGAAGACTGCATTCATAGCAACTTGTGGACGTATTACACACACAAAGACTCATAGCAACTCGCAGACGTATTATACACACAGGGACCGAAGTCCGCCCAGGCTACCCGGATCACTCCAGACAGCCTCCCCCCGTACCCGCCCGGACTCCCTCGGGCTGCGCGCCAGTCGCTCCTTCCGCCTCGGAGTTCGCCTTTTCACCCCCTTCCCCCCCGTTCCCCCCCAAGGGCCGGGGGGGGGGGGGGGGTCTTCTGGCGAGACAGGCAGACATAGCAACTCCGAGTCGTACTCCGTCCCCATTCCATCACGCGGGCACGCATCCAGTGCCGATTTCGGGCAGCCTACCCTTTACGCCGGGCGGCATCCCTTTGGTTGTGTGTTTTCTGGCGCTTGCTCCTCGGGTACCGCCCCCCCCCCCCTCCCCCCGCACCCCCCGATGGGCCGCGCTGCCCTAAACGAGTAGATTTCGGGGCCCGAAATGATGTTTTTCGAACGAAGCGAGATAAAGGCGTTGGAAGGTTGAGGAAGTTCACAGCATTCTGCATCGAAAACGGAATCTCTCTTGCTTGCAGTCTCAGTCTCTCCCACCCCTCATCGAAATCTCAAACTCCCAAAGCGAAAAGGAATCTTCGCCATTTGAGATCTCACGCGTTTCCTCTAGAAACTCACACCGAGCGACGGGAAGACTGAGATTTCGTGGCTGAAGTCTCGACGAAGATTTGGGAGATCTCAAGGGCGGGACTAGAGACTGAGATCTGCCCTGAAATCTTCAGGTCTCACTCCTCTCAATCTCTAAGAAAGACTAGAGATTTCGATGACTGGATTTTGGGGCGCTGTCTTCCCCCTACCTAGGTACCCCCTGCACGTTTGAGGATCTTGGAAGGACGATCAGGGACAACAGGGGCACTTGGTTTAAAGTCTGCTCGGGACCTATATATCACGGTCTAAGCACGCCCGATGATCGATGCGCGCCCGCGACAAGACGAGCGAGACGAGACGAGAAGAGAGGGAGAACCCGGAGAAGTGGACGTTGATGCTTTTGCTGCCGCGGCCGCGCCGCGAGCTCGCGTCTGTTTTGGCGCCGACGCCGCGACGCGTCCCGCTGCGTGAGATGGCGCTGCCGCAGTGTTGGCGCCGCGATCAACCGCGCGCCAGCGGGCGCAGCGCGGCCACCGTGCGGTGCGACTTGGAGCACTTGGAGTGCAGTCATCAACCTCGGGCGGTGTTTTTTTTTTGCAGCTCTCAAAGTCGGCGGTCGGAGGCTTGGGGAGGCGGCGAGGGGAGGCGTGCACGGCAGAGCACGTCCACTCGTAGTCGAGGGCGGCGCAGGCGTCTCGACAATATGGGTTGCGCCGCGAGTACAGCCGCCGCCGCGAGGGATAGCGCAATGCGGCGGTTGAGCCGGGGCGCGGCGCCTACAGATGGGCCAGCGGCGCACAGGCGGATAAGTTCGAGAGTGTCATGCGGCGCAGACGATGTCTACGAGGGTGAGTACAACGCAGGTCTGGCCGAGGGCCGCGGCGTCATGAGATACGCTGACGGCGACTCCTACGAGGGCGAGTGGAAGGCGGGCCTGAAAAATGGGCAAGGCGTTTACCGGTCCGCCAACGGGGACGTCTTCGATGGCGAGTGGAAGGCGGATATGATGGAGGGGCAAGGCATTTTCCGGTTTGCCAACGGGGACGTTGACTCGAACTCCTACCATCAGAATGAAATCGTCGGCGAAGGCATCGTGTGGCTCGCAGACGGGCGGAAGGCCTGGCAGCTGCAGGACGGAGAGCCGGTCGAGGCAATCTCGCTGGAGGAGGCGCGGCGGACCGCCGAGCGGCTCGGGCTCCCCATCCCCTCCCCGCTGCCCGCCGACGCCAACGTCTACGAGGGCGAGTACAACGAGGCGGGGGAGCGGGAGGGGCGCGGCGTCATGCGGTACGCCGATGGCGGCGTTTACGACGGCGAGTGGAAGGCGGGTAAGCAGGACGGGCGCGGCGTCTTCCGATACGCCCACTTCGACGTCTACGAGGGCGAGTGGAAGTCGAGCTTGAAGGAGGGTCGCGGCATTTACCGGCTTGCCAACGGCGATGTCTACGACGGCGAGTGGAAGGCGGGCAAGCAGGAGGGGCGCGGCGTCTACCGGTACGCAAACGACCGCGTGGAGTCTGGCTCCTACAAGCAGGGCGCTGACGTCGGCGAGGGTGTTGCGTGGCTGGCAGGCGGGCAGGAGGCGTTGCGGCTGCGTGGCGGGACGGCGGTCGAGTCAATCTCGCTGGAGGAGGCGCGGCGGACCGTCGAGCGGCTCGGGCTCCGCGTCCCTTCTCCGCTGCCCGGGGGGCGCACGAGCGCACAGCTTGGTTGCTAGAGAGGGTTTGTTGTTAGCAGATCAAGACACATAGCTCACACAAAATCACAAGTGTTTTTGGTGAGAGCGCCTTCTTTTGCAGTCCTTCCACCTTCGTTCGTGTTGTACGTTGATACGTTGTTCATACAAACGTGGTCCCTTGTCGCAGTCACACATACACACCGCACCGCGCCGCGCGCACACGCCCACCGCCCCGCTAGTGCGAAACAGTTTTCTTTCTGTGAGGGAATTTCCTATCACCTTCACAATCTCGCGTGTCATCTGATTGCGGCTTCGACATAGCTCTCAACTCGCTGCCCACGCTCAAGAATCTGACATCATGGTCCTCTCGCTGATCCGCTCCGTCGCACCGATGCGGTCCGTCAACATCGTCATGCAGGAGCCGCCGTCGTTTCAGCAGGCCCGCCTCCACCGCCCTCGAATCCGCCGCCCTCGCCGCCGCCGCCCAGCCCACCTCCGCCGCAGGCCGACGAGGTCGAGAAGGCCGCCGAGGCCGCCGCCAAGAAGGGCGAGTTCTGCTACGGCCTGCCCGGCTCAATCGCGCCGTTCGAGGAGTTTGACCCGTTCAACCTGTCCGCCGACCTCACCTTCGACCAGGTTCGTACATGGCGCGAGGCCGAGCTCGCGCACTGCCGCGTGGGCATGCTGGCCGCCGCGGGTTTCCTCGTCCAGGAGAAGTTCCACCCACTGTTCTCTGGCGACGGCGGCCCGGCCATCGAGCAGATCCCCAAGCTGCCCGTGTTCATGTGGTTCGCGATGACGCTCGGGATCGGCATCTGCGAGGCGTACCGCGTTCAGGTCGGCTGCTCCCATGCCGCCTCCGCAGCGCTGCGGTCCAAGCCTGTGCACCCACGCCTCCCCGCGCGTGTATGTCCGCAGGTCGGCTGGTCCAACCCCAACGAGCCCGACCACGTCTTCCAGAAGCTGAAGCCCACCTACGTGCCAGGGGACATCGGGCACGAGCGCCTCATCAGCCATGTCGTCCTCCTTCGCCCCGACACATCCATCGGCCGTCGCCCTCCCCCCTCTATAGGTGGGACCCGCTCGGCCTCAAGCCGACCGACCCGGAGGAGTTCAAAGTCATGCAGACCAAGGAGCTCCAGAACGGCCGCCTGGCTATGCTCGCAGCTGCCGGCTTCATGGCTCAGGAGGCGGTCACCGGCGACACGTGGGGCGCTTACTGGGTGCGCAAGCGCGGCGGGCCAGCCTGCTACCTCACAGGTGAGATCCCCTCCCGCTCTGTGTTAGGTGCCCGAGTTTGGCGAGGGCGCCGCGGCCTTCTAGCCGAGCTGTCGTCGACCGCTCACGACGGAGAAGGCTGCCCACAATTTAGACCATCGCAGCGGGAAAAGCTCCCGTCATGTGTGAGCCCCTCGATGTTTTGGTCTTTTTGCATGCGTGCCCTCTTGGTTCGTGAGCCCCCTCGTCCTTCCCCCGCTGCATGATCCTTTTCTCGCGGGGGTTGTTGCATGTTGGCGTGTTGTGGTGTACGTACAGTATGTATGTGCATCGTGCATGTGGGTTGCTTTTATATGTAAAGCCGTACAGTGTGACACTCCTGTGTGTCTTGTCGTTCTCACTCGGACAAAAAAGTAAAATATCTTTACTTCCAAAACCCAGACGTGCCTCCACCGGCACGCCGCTTCCGACAGAGGGTGATGGAAGGGGAGGTCCCAGGAAACAAAGGCCTGGGCTGTCCGCCCCGCCCCCACTTGGGTGGTAGACAGCGCCCCAAAATCCACCACTCGGCTCTCTGGGATTTCGCGCAATCGCTTGACTCTGAAAAGCTCGCATGTACCTCCTGCAAGCGCTGTGGTCGCCGCAGACTGGCTCCGACTTGACGGGCGCATGGAGACGTGATGCCTGCATGCGCCCGTCAAGTCGAAATCGACATGCGAGTCGATCTTTGGCCCGCCAGAGGTCATGCGGCGTTTCGGGCGACAACAGCGCTGCGACCGCGAAGTGGCGGTGGACATGCTCCCATGTTGCCAACGCGGCGCCGGAGTGGCCGTCGCAGCTCGCCACGACCACGACGGCTACTCTGATACTCCGGGCCGACCCGTCCTACCCGACGGTGGCACTCTTCCACGTCTCGCTCACGCTGAGAAAAATTCTGAAACGCCGTGCAGCAGAGTCGCCGACGAGTCGGTCCGCGTGACTCCTCGTGTCCCGTACCGTTCTCACACATCCATAAACTCACTTTGGCCTCACTGAAGCAAGCCCTCAATCCTGAATCCTCAGATTTTAGATTAGGACGCTGTCTCCCCTCTACACTTGCCCTAGGACTGCACAGGATAGCGTGCCCCGACGAACGGCGACACATAGCGGGGGACACTGCGCCGGGGGGTATGCCTAACTTTGGGTGGGTCGCGTTCCCATGGTAGCTGTGTGGCTGAGGCCCTCGTGCCGCTGGCGTACGTCCACCCCCCCTTCGGAGGTGGTTCGGCAAGCGGCTGACCCCTCGAGACTGCACACACTATCAAACTATTAGCCGAATAATGTACCTAATTATTAGAGATCTCTAATAATTAGGTACATTATTCGGCTAATAGTTTGATAGTGCATTGGTGCTTGGCGGGAGGAGGGGGAGAGGGAGGCCCGGTGGGAGGAGAGGGAGAGGGAGGCCCGGTGGGAGGGGAGGGAGAGGGAGGCCGCCTTGGGCTCTTCTCCTCCCCCCTCCCTGGGCTCTTCTCCCCTCCCCACCTTGGGCTCTTCTCCCCTCCTCCCTGGTACTCTCGGCCTGATTACCGGAGCGACTGCTGGAGCAGACGCTGGGGGGACACTCTCGCCCGGAGGCGGTACGCACGACCCGGAGGCGTGGGGCTGGGGGGGCGCCGCGCCGCCGCCGCCGTGCCGCCTTCTCCCGCTTTGACCTCCCCCAGCTGCCTCTCCTCAAATCAACCTGTGAGCTTGCGAGGGCGGCGGGGGTGGGAGTGCTCTCGGGCGGCGTGTGCGAGCGCGCGCGGCACGAGATCTCTTCCGCGAGGGCACGGTGGGTCGGGTGAGTATCTCGCGCACTCGCACTATTTCACGTTATATGAGGCACTGCCCTTGAGTGCCTTTGCAGTACCGCCAGCGGCGGTGGTCGAACCGTTCGCGGTTCGAGCCGGGAGCTTTTGGCTCCCGGATCGAAACTCGGGTGGAGGGTTGCTTCGCGGTAGCGAACGCGAGCGACGCGAGCGCGCGCGTGTGCGCGTGCGCGCGGCTGCAAGGCGAGGCGCAGGCGCTGGCGCTGGCGCAGGGGAGGCAAGGCGAGGCGGGCGGCGGCGGCGCGCGATCGTTCCTTTTGCCCGGGTGAGGCGTGGCGAGCGCGTCGCGCGTGGTGATGACGCCGCACGCGGAGAAGCTCTTGGTGACCCACCGCGGTGGCAGCGAGCCAGAGCGAGCAACCTGCCGCATGACGGGTTGACCTCGTGTCGAAAAAGTTTTTTTCCGTTCTCACTCGGACAGGATCACGAGCACGACCAGGACGTGACCTCGTGAGTCATCCAGTGAGCGACAGCATTGCTGCGAAAAAGTAGATAAGCACTGCGCGTTGGCTGGCGTCAAGAGTAGCGGTCAAGAGTAGCGGGCCGCTGGCGCTGCTCAAGCAGGTGCGTGGCCGCGCGCGGCGGCTACATCGTCCCGGGCGGCCTATAGGCTACGTGTGTCGCCGCGCCTTTTTGCGCCGAATAGCGAGTTTATTTCGTCGAGTGAGTGCGCCGCGCCCGCGGGGCGCAGCGGAGATGGGTGGGTGCGCCGGTGAGGGTGTGCGCCGATGGCGCTTGGCGGCTCTCACTATGACGCCTGCGCGTGCTGCGCACACGTCAGGGCTCAGGCGCACGTGCGCCGGTGGCGGCGGTCGCTTCGTTCCGCTCCGCTGCGGCGCGAATAGTCTTTACGCGGAAGCGCTCATCTCTGTAATGTGTAAACTCTCCCTCTCGCGTGCGTGCGTATGGGACACACTATCACTGCTAGTCGTAACGAGTGAGACTGGGGACCCCTGTGGGCACCTGTGTGTTGTGGCGGCCGGGCGTTTTTTTGCACCATTGCGCATATTTGCATGTTGGGCGGCCAGCTGTGCACATGTGGGCGGCGCGGCGGCGGTCGGAGCCTTCAGCTCAGTGTTTGTCGACGGTCGAGAGGCAGTCGAAGGTATCCAGCTTGACGGTGCGGACCAGCGATCTGTGGCGCGCAGCCTTAGCGATCTCTGCGGCAAGGACGTTACATACAACATAGGAGAGACACGGTACGGCTCTACAAGCAGAGCCGCGTAACACGTGCTGCGCACGGACGCTGCCCGGCCTTTCATCGCTGCCCACCACTACTACAAAGGCCACACGCGCGTTGCTCACGCAACGGCATCGACATGCATCCACGGCTCTGAATCCGGCCCACTTGCGCTGCTACGCAAGAGCAGCACCAGAACGCCCAGCACAAAAAAGGAGCCGAAGCCGAGCGCAATGACCAGAGCCGTCGGCGGAGCCGTCGACGAGTGCTGGTCGGGCGTGGCCGGCCGCGACGGCGTCGAGCGGCCGCCATCGTCGCTCTCGATCGAATGGTATGCACGTGCGGCAGGCGCTCTCCTCCGCGCTGCCGACTGCTCCGGCACCGCCGCATCCGAGCGCGCTGCCTTTGCCGCCTGCTGCTGCATGAGCCAGCGGCCCTGGTCCGTGCCGTACGCTAGCCGCTGCCGGTAGTCGGGGATCTCCTCCTCCATGGGCCAGCTGAGACGGCAAAGTGCCGCGCCCCACTTGACTTTGCTACCGCACAGCGCGCACAGTGCGTTTTCTTGCTTTGATCTAGGTTTTTGTTGTTTTGGGGCCTTGGCGCCTAAGCTCGCGTGCCCGCGCTCTGCACGTCTTTGGACTTCGCACTGCTCTCTATTGTACAACATGTGCCAGCAGCGCCCGTCGGCGCTGCGACGCGAGGAGCGAGGCCACGCGGCGCTCGGCGAGGGCGGCGCCGCCTCGAACGCGGGCGCCGCCGCCGCCTCCAAGGATCCACCTCGTCGGAAGTGGTCGTCCGGCGCCGAGTTTACGATCGCCTGCATCGGGTACGCGGTGGGACTGGGCAACTTTTGGAGGTTTCCGGCGCTCTGCTTCAACAATGGCGGTGGCGCGTTCCTCGTGCCGTACACGCTAACCCTGCTGCTCATTGGGATGCCCATTTTCCTGCTCGAGCTGGGGATGGGGCAGAAGTTTCAGATCGGAGGCGCCGAGCTGTGGAAGCGGGTCCACCCCTCCCTCGGCGGCCTCGGCGTCGCCTCCATCACCGCCACGGCCATCGTCGCTGTCTACTACAACGTCGTCGTCTGCTGGGCGCTCTGGTACTTCTTCCGGCGCGCCGCACCCGATATCTAGCCACCCTCCCAGCGCCGCAGCTCCCGGCACTGCTCTTGGTCGGTCGCGCCGCCGCCGGACCTCTCCGCGACGCGAGCCCTCCCTCCTCCGCCGCAGCTCCTTTGCCTGGGACGGGGTGCTGCCGTGGGCCGAGTCTCGCGGCGGAGCCCTCCAGTTCTGGGAGGTGCGCTGCGTGTAGCTGACAGAGGACGGGGTCCGACAGAGAAGGGGTCTGACAGAGGCGAGTCGGACAGAGGACGGGGTTTGAGAGAGGACGGGTGTAGGGATGGCGAGGCCTGGTAGGCTGCCGCCGAGGGCACCACCGGCAGGCTGCCTCCTCGCCGCATGGGTGCTTTTTTCCCAGCAGCTGCCTGCACCTCATTACAGCAGCAGCTGGGAGCAGGTGGACACGCTGCACTGCCGCCCCGCCCAGAACCTCTCCTCGGCCGCGCCAGAAACATGCGCGTGGGGCGCGGGCACGACCTGGCCGCAGGAACCAGGTGTCAGCCGGGCCCTTGCCCCCCCCCCTTGCCCCCCCCCCCCCCGCCACCACACACACACACACACACACCACACACACACACACACACACACACACACACACACACACACACACACACACACACACACACACACACACACACACACACACACACACACACACACACACCTCATGGCATGTGTGTGGAGGAGCTGACCTCCCCTCCCCTCCCCTCCCTCCCCTTGCCCAGGCATCGCTCGGCCAGGCCCTCTAGTGTGGCCGCTCGTCGGCTGCCTCGCCCTCGGCTGGGTGCTCGTCTAGTGTGAACGGCGTCTCTTCACCCCTGCCGCTGTGAACAGGCTGCCTCGCCCTCGGCTGGGTGCTCGTCTGGCTCTGCGTCTGCAAGGGCGTCCACTCGGCGGGCAAGGTCGAGGCCCACGCCGAGATACGGGGAGATGCAGCCGGGATGTAGCCCCGCACCCAGTGTCGCCTCACCCAGTCCGTGCCCGCCGGCAAGGTCGCCTGGTTCACCGCCCTCTTCCCGTACGCTGTCCTGCTCGCGCTGCTGGTGCGGGGGCTCTCGCTGCCTGGCGCACGCAAAGCCTGTGCACGTCGCCGCACGCCGCGAGGAGTGAGGGATGGGCGGCTAACGGACGAGACTAGGCGCGCACGTCGGCCTCAAGTGGTACCTGACCCCCTCCTTCGACAAGCTGGCGGAGCCGCAGGCGCGAGACGCGTCTAGGGCGAGGAGAGCCCAGCACGCCTCAAGGGGCCTCAAGAGAGACCCTGGCCAGAGCAGCCGTGCTGTAGTGCGAGCCTCATGCACGGCGGTGCGGGCGGCAGGTTTGGGTGGCGGCGGCATCCCAAATCTTCTACTCGACTGGCATCGGGTGGGGCACCCTCCCCGCCTTCGCCTCGTACAACCGGCACGACCACAACTTCGTCCGCGACGCGTGGCTGGTGCCCGTGATCAACTGCGGCACCTCCTTCCTCGCCGGCCTCGCCGCCTTCTCCGTGCCGCGAACACACGCCCCCCCCCTCGCCCTCACCGCCGAGCGCTGTGCACCAGGCCTGGTCGTCTTCTCCGTGCTCGGCGACATGTCGCAAGAGACCGGCGTCCTGCCCGCGAGATGCAGATCCTAAAAGGGAAGCGGTGACCAGGAACCAGCAACAATGAGCGAACAGGCGTCCCGATCGACGAGATGCAGATCGAGGGGTCCGGCCTCGCGTTCGTCGTCTACCCGCAGGCGATCGCCAAGCTGCCCGTCGCCCCTCTGTTCGCGCTGCTCTTCTTCACGATGCTGCTCTGCCTCGGCCTCGACTCGGAGTTCTCCATGGCGCGAGATCGCGCGAGACCGCGCGAGATCGCGCGAGACCGCTCGAGATCGCACGAGATCGCGCGTGGTCGAGAAGACACGCACACAGGCCACGGGAGCGGTGACAGGAGCGGCGAACAGGAGTGGTGGGCCCGCGTCTCTTCACGGTCGCATCCCTCTGCAGGTGAGACCATCCTCATATCTCCCATATCTCCCCATATCTCCCCATATCTGCAGGTCGAGACCATCCTCACCGCCGTCGACGACGCCGGCGTCGGCCAGAACTACCCTCGCGCCGTCAAGGCCGCGGCCGCTTGCCTCGCCATGTTCGGCGTCGGCCTGCTCTTCGTCACACGCGGCGGGCTGCACTGGCTCGAGCTGGTCGACGGCTACGCCGCCAATCTGACTCTCTTCATCGTCGGGGGGGTGGAGTGCCTCGCCGTGGGGTGGGTGTACGGCGCGGACCGGTTCGCCGCCGACACGCTCGAGATGGCAAAGACCAAGCTGCCAAAGGCGCTGCCCTGGACCCGACGAGCACCGACTCAGCGCCGGCTCACAGCTAAGAGACGCTTCCCCCCCCCCCCCCCTCCAAAGGCGCTGCTGTGGAACTACAAGCTGGTCGTGCCGGCGCTACTCGCCGTGCTCACCGTGCAGGCGTTCGTCTCCACCGCGACGTCAAAGGTCCACTTCCCGCCGTACGCCGTCGCCCTCGGCTGGTGCCTCGCCCTCGCCTCGGCGCTTCCCATCCCCCTCCTCGCCATACGCCCGCTCTGCTGCCCGCCCCCGTACGCCTCCGAGGGCCTCACGTCCCCGCGCGAGAGGGCGGGTCTGGTGGGCAAGCTCGCCGCCAGCCTGCACCGGCTGTCGAGGAGCCTCTCCTTTGGCGCCTCCTCGCGCGGCGCCTCCTCCGCGCCCGCGCCGAGCGGACTGCCGCCCGAGCTCTCCACGGAGCGAGCAGATGTCGAGCTCGCAGCGGCGCGGGAGGTGCGGTGAGGTTAGAGCAGTGACCTGGGCGCGCTCGTGAGCTGCTGCTCCTGTTTTGGCTTGTGATTACGTGGTATGCACATACAGGTCTGCGTGTACTCTACGTCTGCGTGTACTTACGTCACACGACACCAACAAATAGAGCCGAGAAAAAGCGTCATGGTCAATCATCAGGCCACGGCTGCGGTGGTGTTGGTGTTGGTGTTGGTGCTGTCCCTTTGACTGGAACGCAACCGGGCACAACGCCGTAGCTGTTCTCGACAGCAACAAGTATCTCCTCGCATGCGCTGCGGACTAGCCCAGGATGTTCCCAAAACGCATCGGCCTCCTGTCTCTCCGGCACGTCTGTTGTTGAGGGCGGCGGCTGCGCGAGCATTCTCAGGACAGCAAGGCGTGTCGGAATGACGGAAAGGCGCCGCGGCGAAAGCTGAAACGCCTCGCTGGGCGCGAACAACAGAAGGAGCGGCACGACCCGAGACGCCACCATGGATGGTTTCGAATGGACGACAGACACGTCCCTCGCTTTGAAGAATAATTCCCTAAAATCCGGACACGCCCCTCGCGATTCGTAAGAAGAAGGAAAAAGAAAAAACCCGCCACGGCTGCCCCGACGACCACATCCTTGAGCCCTCGAGGATCCCCTGGACGCTGACGACGCCGAAGCCCTCTATTCACCCATGTCTCGCGCAGCCATCCTCTGCGCGCTCGTCGCAACCTCCACCACGGCCGCTCCGACCGTCAACGCGCCGGATGAGAAGGGCTTCTCCTTTGGCTCAGGCAATGTGCGCTGCTGCCTCGCCGCCCACCGCTTGCGCGCCTTGCCCACGTCGCCCCACGCCACGCCTCGCCCACTCTTCGGCCTCATCCCATCAGAGCATCGGCGTTGGCGTAAACGTCTTCACGATATCGACCAGCGCCTTCATCGACGCGTGCTGTGACGTCGAGCCTTTTGCGCGCTCCATCGTTGGCAAACAGCTGTGCGGCTGTGATGCAAACAGCTGCGAACAAACGGCTCGCCACGCCATCAACATCCTCTCCAACAACGAGCTCGGCGTGGAGACCAACGTATTCGCCATCTGGTGGTCCAAGGTCGTGTGCGCCGTGAGGCCTGGATCGAACGACTGCGAGACGGCTGCAGAGGACGCGGTGACGGCGACGGCGGCGGACAGGCACGCCATCCGCACACGCCTTGACCCTGACACTGTGCTATCGCGAAGCTCACCACACCACATCCAACCCACGCAGTGGCCAGATCACCTTCAACTTCCTCTCCAACAACAAGCTCGGCATCGGAGCCAACGTCTTCACGGCCGCGGTCGAGTCCTTTGTGCAAGCCTGCTGCGACGCCGGTCTCTGCCCCGAGGAGTCGCCCTCAGTGCCGCCGCCGTCGCCACCGCCGGTGCCGCGGCTGTAGTCCGAGCCAGCCACTAAGAGGCCGAGCGCCTTCTCATACGGCACGATCTGTACTAGGCGGGAGAGGCGCCGTACGACCCTCCGTAGGGCCCCTTTCTGCCCGCAGCGCTGCCAGCGGGGGCGGACTACGGGCATCGCTTATTACTCCGTGCTGAAGAAGCTCCCACAGCAGTGTCGCTGCGATACTGTGTCCCAGTACACCGTGGCGCCGGTCACAAGCGCGCGGCGCTCAGAACAGACGACTCTCTACTGTATATTAGATCGTCGGTGTTCACTATCAGAGCCCCCCGGGCCCCGGCGCGCACGGCCGCACGCGCGACGATGTGTCATTTAAGTTTCTGCATCACCGTCAATTACGTACAGAAAGCGAGGCGTTGACACCCCCAGAGAGGCTTAACACCTGGCTCGCCGATGCCTTCCCATCGGTAGCCCGCCTGCCTCTCGGGCCTGATCTGTTCGAACGGACCGCACGATGCCGATACGAGCCGACCTCCAGGCGCGCCTGACCATCACCGCCCGCACCCGTTGATCGAAAAAGGCGCGGTCCCAGATGCACTCCGGCCAGTGCCACGAGCAGCGCGGCTGGAACATGCAGGCCTGCAGGTTGAGCGCCTTTGACTGGCACCTTCCAAACAGCGCCGAACCGTTGGCAAAGACGGGCAGCAGCCGAATCGAGCCGACAAAGAAGATGTCGTCCCGCCGTACCACCAGATCCATCGGCGACGCGGTGCCGCCCTGCTCGCCTCCTCCAGCAGCCCTCTCGTATTCAGCCCTTCTCTCCGTCTCGAGGTCCTCCGCCAACGGCAATGACCGCACGGCGTCGTCGCCGCAGTCCTGGCTGAAGCAGAGCTTGGAGCCGTCGTCCGCTGCCTCGGGGGGAATCGGGGTGGGCTTTCGCGCGGCGCGAACGACGCCCTCCTCACGCGCCACGCGGGCGAGGGTGCGCTCCCACGCGGCGAGGGGCGGAATGCCCGCGAGGGCCACGTCTGGCCGATGCAGCACGAGGTGCCTGTACGGCTTGCCCAAATCGATTGCGCGCTGGATCATCGGGCCGCACTGCGCGATGCGAGACGCGGCGAGGCGGTATCGCGAGGCGGCACAGTGGGTGCACTGCCGCCCTCCCAGGTCCGCAAAGCAGCTGGGCCAGCCGGCGGCGCTCTCCCGCCCAAAGGGAGGCACCTCGCACAGCACCGAGGACGAGTTGAAGTCGGTTGGCCTCGCGCACGCGGCCTCGCTCCCCTCCGGCAGCGGGTGGCGGCTGATGATCGAGTCGACCGGTCGTAGGACGCGAATGGCCTGGGCGAGGGCCTCCTCTGACGGCGCCGCCTCCTCTGCGTGGTGGTGAGCGGCATCGACAGGCTCCGCGCCGAGGTTGAGGTAGATGTCTGCGCAGCCGGCGCCGACGCCGTCCCACACCTGCCGCAGACCTGAGACCACCTCGAGCCTCGCCGCACTCCGAAGCTGCCCCACGATGCACACCGCCACCAGCGGCTGCGCGCAGCCGCTTGGCGAATCTGCGGCGACGTCTCCGGCACCTTCCGCTGCTGGACTCGAAGCATCGCCTGGCACGGCTGATCTGGGCTGCCTGCGCCGCCGGGTTGACTCTGACTCAGTTTAGGGCGCGGCGGTGCTAAACTAAGTTGGCGCGTGGCGGGTGGCGCTTCCGCCTTCCCGCCTTCCGCCCCTCACTCCCTCCCCATCAACTTGCGCGGGCGGCTCTCCTCTGCGCGCTTCCGCACGCGCTGCCGGATCAGCTTAGAGATCGCGGTGCGCTCGGGCGTCTTCTCGAGGCAGGCGAGGAACTGAAGGGCGTTGGCGTTGCGCGCCACCATGTCGCCTGACTTATGGACTGCAATGTCGAGATGAGGCCACTCTTTGAGGGTGTACGTCGTCAGGTCGCCCGGCTCGTTACTAGTGCGCAAATCGGTCCGTGCGCCGAGCTCGAGCAGCTTCTCCACTGCTTCGACCTAGCGTGTGTGTGTGTGTGTGTGTGTGTGTGTGTGTGTGTGTGTGTGTGTGTGTGTGTGTGTGTGTGTGTGCGTGCGTGTGTGTGTGTGTGTGTGTGTGTGGGTGGGTGGGTGTGTGGGTGTGTGCGTGTGTGTGTGCGTGTGTGCGTGTGTGCGTGTGTGTGTGTGTGTGTGTGTGTGTGTGTGTGTGTGTGTGTGTGTGTGTGTGTGTGTGTGTGTGTGTGTGTATGTGTGTGACCTAGGAGCGCGATCGCAGATGAGGCAGTGAACGCAGGATCATGCTGCAGTCAGCGCCCCACAAAAGGAGCTCAATTTAGTGAGGGTGGCTTGTGGTCGCCCTGGCTTCCGAATGGAGTACATGCCTCTTGACCTCAGGATCTAGGGTGCGGACGTTGTTAGGGCGAGGCGGCTCGCGTCACACGACTTGCTCTCGCGATCGCCGCTGCGAACGCAAAGAGCTACGTGAGTGGCACGCTCGACGCGAAGACGCTCGCGCTCGACTATGATCCCATCGACGCTAAGGAGTGGAAGGGCTTTTCCGGACCGTGCTATCGCCGCAAGGCGCGCGGCAAGGCAGCCGAGAGGAGCCGAGAGGAGACGAGAGGTGCCGAGAGGAGCCGAGAGGAGCCGAGAGGAGCCGAGAGGAGCCGAGAGGAGCCGAGAGGAGCCGAGAGGAGCCGAGAGGAGCTGAGAGGAGCCGAGAGGAGCCGAGAGGAGCCGAGAGGCGAGAGCAAGCGTGCCAGCTAAGTCCTAAGACCCGCCGCAGTAAGTATCCCTAGTCGATGCCGCCGTGGAGTAGACGCAGCCGTAAAAGAGAGCTTGGCAAAAGTGGACATATTGGTATGCACGATACTTAGTGAAGACCGCACGCGACTGTATAGATACCGTGAGCCAGGGCTTGGAGATCACCGCAGAATTCTTGTTGCGAGTTTTGCCTCCGGCCCCTTTGCCGGCCTGCCCCCGACATCCTGGCCGCGCAGCTCCACACTCACGCCATGTACATGCTCTCCCTCGGCCTCGCGAGCGCCGCCTACTCCTCCTCCTCCGACCTCGCGCAGCCGACCGTCCCCACGGAGCGCCTCTCCTCCTCGCCCGACATCTGGCTCACCAAGGGCTTCCTCTCGCCCGCCGAGGTGAAGCACCTGCGAACAAAAGTGCCGGCCGACGAGGCGGCGTACGCGCCGTGCATCGGCCAGGTGGACGAGTTTGAGTCGAAGCGGTGCGCCTTCGTCCCGGTGGCGGGCGACCCGCTCGCCGAGGCCCTCGTCGCGCGGCTCGGCGAGGCGTGGCGCGTCGACACCTCGCGACTCGTCGCGGCCGGCCTGCCTCTCATCCGGTATCTTCCCGGCGCGCCGCCGGTGGGGAAGCACGGCGACGAGGACCGGCACGGGGTGGTGCCCAACGCGACGCTCGTCCTCTACCTCACCGGCTCCGACCCCGCCCACCCCGCCGGTCAGACAATCTTTCCCGAGGCGCGCCGCCGCCGCTCCCTCCGACCTCGGAGTGTGGCGTCCCTTCACAGGGTGCGCGTGGTGGTCAGGCGGGCGTCGCCGTCTCCCCGACGCCGGGCGCCGTCCTCTCCTTCTCCAACCTCGACGCCTCCGGCGCCCCCCACCCCAACGGCCGCCACCTCGTCAGCGCCGTCCCGCGCGAGGCTTCTCGGGCAGCAGATGCCGAGAGAGCACACCCTGTCTCCCAGCTCTCTCTCTCTCTCTCTCTCTCTCTCTCTCTCTCTCTCTCTCTCTCTCTCTCTCTCTCACTTGTCTGCGCTCTCGGGCTGCAGATGCCGAGAGAGCACACCCTGCATCCCAGGCTGTCTCGACAGCACTTGTATGCCAGGCTGTTGTCTCGACAGCGCCTTCTCTTCCCTGCTGCGGGTCCGACCCACCCGCAGCCGCAGACGTGTGTGTGTGTGTGTGTGTGTGTGTGTGTGTGTGTGTGTGTGTGTGTGTGTGTGTGTGTGTGTGTGTGTGTGTGTCCAGCATGCACTGCGCCTCTCAATGCTCCCCCCTCTCAAGAACCTTCTCGGAACCATCCCCGCAGGCGGAGAGCGACCGGCTCGTCCTGCAGGTCCCGCTCGCCCACCCGGCTGCTATCTCGGCTACATCTCGGCTACATCTCGGCTACATCTCGGGTATACATCACAGGTCCCGCTCGCCCACCCGGCCGGCGGCGCTCCTCCGCACGCCTACGCGGAGCACGTCTCGGGCAACAAGAAGCCGGGCGAGCACGAGAAGCTGCACGGCAACGCGCAGCAAAAGGGCGCGTACGCAGCGGCTGTCGCCGCGGGCATGTCGATCGCGGTGGCCTCGACGGGCGGTTTGAGGTGCGCAGCCGCCGTGAAGAGCGCCTCTTCACGCGCGGCGGTGTGAGCAGGTTGCTTTCATGGCGGCCAAGGCGGGCAAGTTTGAGGCCGGGGACGCGGCGTCGCTGGAGGCGGCGGCCAGGGCGACCAACGAGTTCGCCGCCGACGATTTCAAGACAAAGGCGGCCTGAGGGAGGGCCTGGCTTGCCTGTGGAGGGGCGGCCCCTGGCTCCTTTCCAGACTTCTACACCCCGTTTGTGTGACAGCTGCAGAGGTCGAGAGGGAGGCGAAAGCAGCGAGAGCGGCACCCATGTACACTGAAGACGCGCCGGTGTTGCGGTTCCTGGCCCCCTTCGCGCGGCTCGTCATGCCAGCATAGCACACAGGCGCCCACGATGTAGGTAGAGCGCGTGACGGCGTGACGGCGTCGGTGTCCACTCGCGCGCGAGCAACGGGGGGCGAAAGTCTGTGACTGTCCGCAAACGCCCTCCAAGCCCCCGGCCCCCCCTGGCCCTGCACAAGTCTACGGCTCTACCGACAAGTCTAATAACTTAGACACGCTCTGAGAAGATTTTTTGCGACTGTTTGAAAAACTTGGAAAACGCTCGGCGCTCGCGGAGCCTACAGGGCCGGCGCGAAGCGACGACCGCCGAGCTTTAGGTCGCCGACATCCAGCCGGAGCTGCGAGTCCACACGGAAGCCTCTAGGGCGAATTCACTGTGATTTCGCAGAGACTACCTCATTTGCTGCTCCCCCCATGAAGGGGGGTTTGTGTGGGAAGCCAAGGGAGGTTAATGGCTTCCCACATTTGTGATGGGTCGAAATCGGCCCGCCATTGATGGTCGAATCGGTGTAACGAATCGAGAGAGAGAGACGCGAGGGCCCAAGAGGCCCGTGGGCTCGCCTGCAGAGCGTCTCTCTCTTGCCATTCTGCTTGTCTGTTTTGTGGCCTCTTCTCTCGTCTGTCGGTGTTTTGTCCCACCCTGAGCATACTGCCTAAAGGGTGTGGATGCTGAGGGCCCTGGCGGTGAATGCTGACGGCCAAAGTTGTTCAAAGGATTAGAAACGTTTCGCGAGCAGTTGACCGGGCGTGCCCGCGACAGATCGGCGAATCGATAGAATGGCTGCATGCCGTCACAGACGCTGCGCACCTCCACGGAGGAAATGGCGCACATTGCCCACAGCCGTGGCGGCCCCTGGTACAGCTCGTACCCGAACTCGGCGTCGTAGGCTTCGAACACCTGGGCACCAGGCCCGGAGCTGCACAGCACCGGCTGATCCATGTATCGCGATACGGCGTCATCGAGACTCAGCGGGTCCATCATGGCCGACAGCCCCGCCGACCGCCCCGCCAATATTAAGTCGAGGTGGCAACGCGTTAGTTTTTCAGTGTACGTACTTTTGTTTAAATACTTTTAGCGTACTGGGATCTCTTTTCTCCCAGTAAGCTAAAAGTACGTACGTACTGGGAGAAAAGAGAGAGGGGGGGTTGTGTTCTCTAGGCCCCTAAGGGCCCTACGCGCGGCGTGAGAGCTCGGAAGCGAGCTTCTCTCTCACTCAGTGTATGTAGCTCTTACGTACATTCCCGTAGGAGACTCTGCTGACAGGGTTTGCGATGAGGAGCGACCCGAAGGGTTTCTCGGAGGTTAGTGCACCACTAACCTCCGTGCGCCGAAGCGCAAGCGCTGGGAGCAAGAACACTACGACCTGGGTCGGGCTCATACTAGCACCCCACCTCGCGATTTTTATCTTTTTCCTCTCCTTGAGCACTTGAGCACTGGATAGGGTCGATTCCGCGTGGTACGGGACCCCTCGATCGTCTCGCCCGCCCTCACTGGCATGTTCATTGGGGGGGGTCATAACAAACACGGTACAGGTTCGAGGTGCACGCTGCCGAAGCAGTGTCGTCCCCCCTCTCCCCGACGGCGATGGCGGTGTGACCGATCGAGCTACAAGAGGAGCTTGTTCAGCAGGATCGGAGTGGTCAGATGCACTACCGCACTGAGCATGAGACCATCGTACGACGCATCCATCACCGTCTCGGAATTGCGTGGAATCGAACCACTCCGGGATGGGGCAACCCCATCGAGTTGTGTTTTCCTCGCCTGCAGGAGACAGCGGGGGTGTGCGATCTTTACTCTTGGCATGCTGCGGCCCCAGTACGCAAGTTAATGACCAGCATTGCTGCCGGGGGCATTCGAGCCGCCACAGCCGGTGTGCGGCTGTGCACTGCCACCTGCCCGCGGCTACGCACATGTGCGCTCGCATTGGATGAGCCCTGCTGATGGACCTGCGTCGCCTAGCTGCACGAGAGCACTGCCGCAGGCGGCGGCCGTGGCATACACTGCGAGCGAGCACACTCCGGTGCAGCTGCGAGGTGCAGCAAGAGCACGTCGTTCCTGCCTCTGATGCCACTCTCGCGGCTTGTAGCGCGTCACTCGCGCATGCTCTCCAGGAGCTATGGCGGGCGCGTGTGTGGGGCTGTAGCCTGTGTTTGGCCGGTTCTGACCCGTTTACTATCAGTACCATGCCTGGGCCACAAGAATCGCACACGGGGAGCGGCTCAGGGACCCAGTAAGCCGCGGAATCGCCAAATGTCACAACCCGGCTCACCCAGGGCTGGACCTAGTCGAGCGGACGCGGGGCCAGAATGCAGAAAGAGGGCGGGCGCCGGGTTTCGAAAGCCGGCGTTTTCGCGCGTTCGAGGGGCTTTGCCTCGGAGTTTGTGCAAAATTGACAAAAACTGCGCGCGAAAGCCGAGATGGCACCGCAGGCGGCGTGTGTGCACGAGGGCGGCGGCGTCCAGCGCCGAGCAGCACACCACCCCAGCGCGAGCGGCATCGCCGACTACGCGCGGCGGCGGGCGGCTCGACCGAGCCGGCGCCGGAGGAGGCGACGGACGTCGAGGCGGTGAGCGCCGCGGACGTGCTGGCCGGCGTGGAGGAGAGCGGACCGAACTACGCCCTTCCGGCGGCGAGGGAGGGCCAGAGGGAGCGGCGGGAGCGGCTGCGGTTGGACGAGACGGCGAAGCAGGCGGGGCACACCATCGTGGAGATGGGAGCGCACGTCGAGATCCTGGGCGAGCAAGGCTTGTGGTGGCCGGCCACCATCGCGGGGCGGGAGGAGGACGTGGATGGCCGGCTCGTGCACGAGGTCGAATACGACGGCTACCAGGGCGAGCAGTACTGGCACATGCTTGACGACGAGCAGTGGCGGCTCGCGACCGCGACGCCAGCCGCCGGCACGAATGCGGCGGCCTCCATTCGTTCTTTCTTTTTTGAGCTAGCCTCATGTTATGAAACAAACGCAAGGCGGACACACACCCATGACGCATCGCTCTCGGGCCCACAGACATCCCGCACACCCGCCGCCCCCGCGCGCGCCCCACCCCGGCCGGGAGAAAGGGGAGTGACAGTTTGGGATGGCAACAGTAGGTAGGTAGGTAGAAAGGTGAAGAACAGCCAGTCGAGATACCCCTCACTCCATGCGCGAGAACGCAAAGAGAAACCAGGGTTCCGGCTCCTACCCGGATAGGGGGTCTGTCGGCACTGGCTGGCCCCTCCCACCCAGATAGGTAGGTAGGTTGGTCTTGTTTGGCCCAAAAGGGCCCTGCAATAGGTAGGTAGCCCATATTTTCATCTTTTTTCGCTTCGCTGCGCGGCCTGGGGATAGGTAGGTAGGTAGGGCGTTTTGGCGCGAGTCAGGTAGGTAGAAAGGTGAAGAACAGCCAGGCTCGGACTGGACACCAACGCGGTATGGGTGGACGCGAGACAGATGATGACGACACGCACGAACGACACACAGACACAAACAAGCTCACAAGACACACAGCCAGCTGGCTGCCACACACCCTGAGTTGGCGTACACATAACTCAGGGCCACATTCTTCCTGTCGCCCCCCCCAGCACTCTCCAAGGTGCCAAGAGAAACAAACAAGGGCACAACAAACAACAGACGACAGGAAGCAACGTGCGAGGCTAGAGCAGGCTTGCTCGTCCTCTAGCAATCTCCGCCGACCGCGAGGCCGGACTAGACCGTGTGTGGGGTCATGTGAGGTGTCTCTGGTCACTCTCCTCAGGGGCTAGCCGCCAGCGGCCAGCCCTATCTCGCACTCACAGGCAATGACAATCCAATGTATGAGTGTATGCAAGCAGAGGCGCGTGTGCTGGTTCTAGATCGCACGCCGTGGGAGCAGGCGGACATCGCTTCCAGGGAGGGGGGCGCACTTCTGCTCACGCCCCACCCCCCCCCTAGCATGTGGTGAAGGCGCTGGGGGGGTCGGGACCCCCCCCCCAGCATGTGGTGAAGCCTCTGGGGGGGGGTCGGACCCCCCCCTAGCATGTGGTGTGAGCAGAAGTGCGCCCCCCTCCCTGGAAGCGATGTCCGCCTGCTCTGGCATATATGACTTGGGAGGCGTGCGACCGCAGCGCGCCCGCCGTCAGCTCGACGGGGCGCGCA